TGTACATCGGTGAAACCCGAAAGGGTTAAACAGCTGATAATAAGGTTTCATTGCTTTTTCCAAAATCCTCTTCAGATTAATGCTTCTAGACATGTCAGGATTCTCTCGTGTGAAAGTATCCAATTTTATCAATAGTAAGGAATTTATCGCAAAACTTTTGTAGTACGTACAGTGGATCCTCGGTTATCGTCCATCTCCATTATCGCCGATTTCGGTTTTAGCCGACATTTTTCATTGATTTTTGCCTTCCGTTTTCATTGATTACCTTCGTTTTCGTCAATCGTATAGAACCTGTCCAGTGCCCAGCGTGCAGACAAAGCCGCCTTCCATACGCATTCTCAGCCAGTGTAGCGTTGTTTCTCGGTGAATGAACATATCCTACCAGGTCATACGAAACATTTCATAATAATCCATTGTTTTTGCCACTTGTTTATCGTGTGTGACTGCTAAATAAGTGACCATGGCCCCAAAGAAAGCTCCTAGTGCCAGTGCTTTGGTAAAGAAAGTAAGGAACGCCGTAAAACTGAAAAAAGAAATCCCAAGAAAAAATGACTGTGGCATACGCATTGCTGAACTCGGCAGGATGTACGGGAAGTCGTCAACAACAATCAGCTCCATTGTGGCAAAGAGAAAAGAATTCATGGACGCTGACGCTGCAAAAGGGGTGAATGCAGTATTATTATTATTATAATCAAGGGGGAAGCGCTAAACCCGGAGGATTATACAGCGCCTGGGGGGGGGATGTGGAAGGCATTCAGGCTTAATTCGGGGAACTGGAGCACAGATCCAATTCCCTAAATCAAGAGCCCCTCACCAACATCAAGGAACCTTCCTTGAGGGGGGTGAATGCAGTAACCAAACAGAGATCCTAAACAACTGAAGAAGTGGAGAAATTGTTGTTGGTATGGATCAGAGAGAAAGTTAGCAACAAAAATTTCTGTTCAGTTAGTATATGCTTCAATGTAAATATTTGGACTATACATCCCCTAGCCTTCCTAAAGCCTCCTTGCTCATCTGTGATCCTGCTCTCTGTCTTACCCTTAATTCTTTCAATACTACCATACACCATACCAGGTATACTCGACAGGCTTATTCCACTATACTAATTCTTACACTTTTTTGTCCCCCTGCCTTTATACAAAAGAATTATGCATGTTCCCTACCAGTCCTTATGTACCTTCCCCTCTTTCAGACATTTATTAACCCTCAAACTGTCCAAATGTAGATTTACGTTCGCTCGTGTAGTGCTCTGAACGTAGATCTACGTTTTTTTACATAAGAAAGCATGTAAAATCATAGATCTACATTCAGAGCGCTTTGCAAGCAAATGTAGATCTACGTTTGGACAGTTTAAGGGTTAAATAAAAGTACCAACTATTTCAAAACAATATCCCCACCTTTTTTTAACAATTCTCTTTTGATGCCATCAGTCCCAGCTCCTTTACCTCCTTTCATTTTACCCACAGACTCGCACACCTTTTCCATACTCACATCTGGCTCTTCAACCATTTTCTGAAATAATTTGCACAAAGCCAGCTGGAAAATTTCTTGCAGTCACATCATCAGCTGACACACACTTACTACGTATTAAGCTTTATGGAATGAGGCCAAGTGCTCCTTTTAAAGCTTTCATACTATCTACTAGTAAATTTACACTGTTGTGAAGGCTCCCTTTTTCTCTCACATTTTTGTAATAGGATAAGGCTTTGTGGTGTATAATCTGAGCACCAAGTAGAGCCCTTTCCTTGATTTCTCTTGATTCACACATTCAGGAACTTTCTGTAATGATGTTTGCTTGCCACTCTTTTCTGCATGTTACAATCTGCATTAGTCAATATTTTTTTTTTTTAACATGCTGGCCATCTTCCACTGGGGCAGTGTGACCCAATAAAAAATACTCACCATCATTCATTAACACAATCTTGCCAGAGGCACACAGATACAACAGTTTAAATGGCTCTCCAAACAGCAAATATCCCAAACCCCTCCTTTAGAGTGCAGACTCTTAATTTCTTCTTAATCTTTCTAATTGTATAAACATATGATTCTTTTAGACCAAAAAAGCATGCCATCTCCATCACAAATGCACCACCAGCCAGTACAGTACATCTAAAACCTCTTCTTTTTGTGATACTGTCAGTGTGTGCTTATTTTTAATGGTACTTCTGGCATCACAATGTTCCTCTTAAGTGCTATGGTTAATATCCTGAGATAAGAGTGGGGAAAAGATCCAAAATCATTTGATAAACAGCCACTATCAGACATAATGCTTCCAGAAGGAAACTGGCAGTGAAGGTGAGGGAGGTGAAGGTGCCTTCCTGACACAACAATCATTCACCCATAGGTCCAGCAGGATGGAGGGAAGACAACCCATTGCTTGTACTCCATGAATCTGCACCTGCATTAATCATTCCACTCTTTACAGATCATAATAACAATCATTTTCATGCCATGACTTTTTGGTTACACTTTTTCAATAGCTTTTTTATAAAACTGCTCAGTTCAATTGTACTGATCAAGCATTTACTGCATTATTAAACGAGACATACTAGAGTATATAGAAGATGTGGTAACATAAATTGGGTAAAACACATTGAGATGTTTATTGCCTAAAAGAAAGGTTTTAGAGCAATAACCCCTCAAGGTAGGTTCTTTGACACTGGTGAGGGGCTCTTGATCTAGGGAATTGGATCTGTGCTCCAGTTCCCTAAATTAAGCCTGAATGCCTTCCATCCCCTCCCCCACAGGCGCTGTATTATCCTATGGGTTTAGCGCTCCCCATGATAATAATAATAATACTTAGAGCAATACATTATTTTACAATGGTTTATATATAATGATGGATGATAGGATGGCATGAAAAATGCAAACTTTAAGTATAATGGTTACAAATGATTAACAGAAAACCTTCCTAAAGGAAGGATAAAGCTAAGAGTATTGAACATATGAGAAAGATCCCATGAAAGAATAAAGGGAACAGAAAGGCTAGATGAGCAAGTTGAAACAGTAATAGTACAAGAATTTCTTCTGTCACTATCAACTCATCCCATCACTACAGTATTCATAATGAAACAAAAAATTAGAAAAAGTTTAACATCCTGCATTATATAGGACCCACCTCTGCGAATATCCATCTTCGCAGCATCATCATTTAGAATAGACAAAGCAGACTCGCCCACAAGTATAGAGTCTGTAAGTGTGTCAAACACAGAACTGTCAGGCAGGTATGAAGATTTACGACCAGGAGTGCTTAATATGTCCTCATTATCTGCAGAATTAGCAAAGGTTTCTTCTGCTTCGTGGGTTTCCTCAATATTCTATAAAAAAAAAAAATTATATAACATACAGGTTTAGTGCATACTGTAAAAAGCTGGTAGATATGAATAGCTACACCAATGTTATTAAACCAGATAAAATCTCAAAGCAAGTCTAAGAAGGTATTATGCTTTTTAACCGATAAAAATTCAGTATATTAAATTTTAACACAAAGTTGATTTAGAATATCACTGCAACTATTATACTAATCTTAAAGTACTTATTCTGTGCATGTCTCATCAGTTATTGAAAATCAGCAATATGAGTGACAGTTACATGTCAAATATGTCTCATACCTGCATTTCCAAATTGCTCTCTGTAAATGTATCTTCATCATCATCTCCTAAAAGGCTTTGCATTCTCTTGAAAATGTTATCACATTCCTGATAAATATCTACATTTGTTTTATCTCCATATTTATTAGATTCTGGGGAAGATGTAAGTTCTTCCACTGGGCTGGTGGTACACACAAGTTCTGTATTATCTGGATTAGTCCAGTCTACTGTATGCTTAGGTTGTTTTTTTGATAATTTTTTATCTACATCTTTTCCATTTTTCAGTTTCTCAACAAATGACATAAAATTTGATTTTGATTCACATTTTCTTGCTCTCAAAGGCTGCTTAAGTTTCATTTGTTGTGCTTGTTCCATTATTAAATTTAAATTTGCCTTTGAATGATATCTGAGTTTCTCTAAAGTACTACTTTGGCTGATATGCTCATCAGATGTTAGTCTTTCTGTACTACTGATTTTGTCTCCTAAAGAAAACTTCAAGCCATCAAACTTTGTAAGTGTTCTAGAAGATTTAGTTGAGGTGTTTTCCTTAATTGGATTTTGGATGAGAAAGGACATTTTTTCTAGGAGGTTTTGTGAAGATTCATTTATTATGTTTGTTTGCTCAGTATTCTGTTTACTCACACATGCAACCTCCTGTTTGTTTGGTATCCTGCATGAGTTACTAACTCTATTTTTATCCGATGCATGTTTAGAGTATAGAAGTGCTCCATATTGTGTTGAATCTTTGAACTGAGGAAAGTGAATGGGTGATCCTTCTGTCGGTAGTTTCCACCTTTCTCGTGCTTCTCTAGAAAATGAACTGATTCTTGGACTAGCACCATGTAATGGAGAGAGTGTTTTTCTTGTAGAGTGTGGAATGCCTTTTAAAAATTTGTTGTCTACATTAATGCTAAAACATTCATGCTTTGGTGTAATGTCCATCTGCTCTACTGCATTCAGTAAGGTATCAGAATCAGAAGAAATTTCCACACAGCCTGCCAAAAAATAAATTTATTAAAAGCATATCAATGAAAATATTTTTTGGCAATTATTGTTATAGCTGACTTTATGACTACCTCAAATGATGAAATAATAATTTTTAAAGGAAAATTTAGGAAAGCAATTATTTTGTGATGGTTTAAGATAAAACCAGGAGTCCCTTAGCTAGAGATCTAGTTTTTGCATATAAATACCAAATTCATGAACTAAAAACCACTATTATTTTCAATTAGCTTTGTCTTAGCTGTATGGAATCACCATGATGAGCAACAGATTCCTAGCTAAATGCCATTTTGTGACTGATCTTTAAACCTCAGTAGTCTTATTCATGAACAGTTTAAAAAAAAAAAAAAATTAAGTGTCCTAGCACAAACTGCAGTAATGCCCCATATATATACACGAGTACAGGTTGAGAAAGAAATGAGTACTGTTAACAATAAGAGCATCTGAAAGTTGTTGTTGCTTAATTTGGTCTTTGTGATCTTGGAGGAAATTGGTGAACTGCATATAATGCATGATTTCCCTTCCTTGATACTGTTATTAATTTCATGTGCATGCCAGTAATTTAGGCACAATAACAAGTGGAGAAGATGGAGAAAAACTTCCATAAGCCATGTGTGTCATAAGAGGCAACTAAAATGCCAGAAGGAAGGGGTGAGTAACCCTCTCTCTTGTATAAATTACTAAATGTAAAAAGAAGAATAACTTTTGTTTCTTCTTTTTTTGTGTCACCCTGCCTTGGTGGGAGATGCCTGGTGTGTGAAAAGAAAAAGGAATATAAAAGTGAGGTGTCCCTGGGTAAATGCACTTATTGCCCTCCCTTAAATCTGGCCCTGCTGAGGAGAAATTATGGTAGACCTTCCATTTTGTGGACTTCAAAAATATGAAACAAAATCAGCTGCATCAATAGATTTGGAATCAATGGACAAAGTCCTTTGGTTGCAGAACTGTTCATTACTGTTACAATCATGGCAAAATTATCTTTTCTTTATCCACCACAACCACCATTATTGGCCGCCTGCTTCCCTAGAAGTGTGTAGACATCACACTTCAAATGACCCTCCAAATTGCAACATCCCATCCATCCTTCAGAATCCAGGCACTGTACTTCCTACTTCCAGGACTCAAGTCAAGCTAACCAGTTTCCTTGTATCTCTTTTTTAACCCTTTCCCGGGTTCGTGCCGTAGATCTACGGCTTTACGTTCAGGGTCCAAACCGTAGATTTACGCCATGAGCTCAGCTCACTCTGATAAGCTGTGAGCAGTAAATCTGGGCCTAGATATGAGAGAATACATCTATGTGGTATGTGTGCAGCACATAAAACAAATCCTGCAGCACACAGTGCATAATGAGAGAAAAAACTGAGACCGTAATTTCCGATTAAAACAGCAACTTTGCAGTTTTTTGTATGTTTTTTTATAGTTGTATTTGCAATTTCTTGGTCTCATTTGATAGAATAGAAGATATATTACAGAAATAGAGATGATTTTGATTGGTATTAGTACTGGAAATGGCTTGAAACTGAACTCAAAGTAGCAGAAATGTTAAATTTTTGCCGATGTTCAAGAGCAAACAAATGACCTCACAAGTCTAATAAATGACAGCTGGTGGGTCTAATATACATTCATAAATGTGGAGATATTATTTATACAATTATTACAGTATTGCATAACAAAAAATCTTCTATTTTGTGGTTTGAATAAAAATTCATTGATTAACCCTTTCAGGGTCCAAGGCCAAAATCTGAAGTGGTGCCCCAGTGTCCAAGAATTTTCAAAAAAAAAATTTTTTTATTTTTTCTTATGAAATGGTAGAGAATCTTTCTGTGAATGTAATAAAACAAAAAGTATGAAATTTGATGGAAAATTGACGAAATTATGCTCTCGTGAATTTTGATGTGTCAGCGATATTTATGAATCGGCGATTTTGCCGACTTTGACTCCCATTTTAGGCCAATTACATTGTTCCAGTCGACCAAATTCTTAGCTATTTCACTAGCATTACTTCTATTCTATCGATTGAGCACAAGAAATCGCCAAGTCAACTGTTTCAACTACAAAATAAAGTGACCGGAAATTGGTAACTTGGCCAATTTAACACAAAGTTCAAAATATTCCAATTTCAAAATGGGGTCCAGAATAAACAATGTAGGTATTCCTGGCACTTAACTAACATTTCCTCTGTTCATTAATTATGTTTTGAGGCTTTCCACATCCCTCCCCAGGCGCTGTATAATCCTACGGGTTTAGTGCTTCCCCCTTGATTATAATAATAATGAGGCTTTACAAATAAATTCCATTTTGATTTTTTATTCACATAATGAATTTTTATTCACACACAAAAAATAGAAGATTTACTGTTATGCAATATTGTAATAATTGTATAAATATCATCACCACATTTGTGAATGCATATTAGACCCACCAGCTGGCGTGTATTAGACGTGTGAGGTCGTTTGTTTACTCTTGAACATCGGCAAAAATTTAACATTTCCGCCACTTTGAGCTCAGTTTCAAGCCATTTCCAGTGCTAAAACCAATCAAAATTATCTCTATTTCTGTAATATGTCTTCCATTCTATCAAATGAGACCAAGAAATCACAAATACAACTATAAAAAACATACGAAAAAACGCTGCAAAGTCGCTGTTTTAATCGAAAATCACGGTCTCAGTTTTTTTTCTCTCATTATACACAGTGTGCTGCAGGATTTGTTTTATGTGGTGCACACATACCACATAGATGTATTCTCTCACATCTAGGCCCAAATTTACCACTCACAGTTTATCAGAGTGAGCTGAGCTCATGACGTAGATCTACGGTTTGGACCCTGAACGTAAAGCCGTAGATCTACGGTTTGGACCCTGGACGTAAAGCCGTAGATCTACGGGACGGACCCTGAAAGGGTTAAAAAATCAAAATGGAATTCATTTGTAAAGGCTGAAAACATAACTAATGAACAGAGGAAATGTTAGTTTAGTGCCAGGAATTCCTGTATTGTTTATTTTGGACCCTATTTTGAAATTGGAATATTTTGAACTTTGAATTAAATTGGCCAAATTACCAATTTCCAGTCACTTTATTTTGTTGTTTAAACAGTTGACTGGCAATTTCTTGTGCTCAATCGATAGAATAGAAGTAATACTAGTGAAATAGCTAAGAATTTGGTTGATTGGAATACTGTAATTGGCCTAAAATGGGAGTCAAAGTCGGCAAAATCAACAATGCGTAAATATCGCCAACACATCAAAATTCGCGAGCATAATTTCGTCAATTTTCCATCAAATTTCGTACTTTTTGTTTTATTACCTTCAGAAAAAGAATCTCTTACCATTTCATAAGAAAAAATAACAAAAATATTTTTTGAAAATTCTTGGACCCTGGTGCACACTTCGAAATTTGGCCTCTGGACCCTGAAAGGGTTAAACACTAGCTTGCTCACACTAACAGCACATTAAAGCTTAAAAACAACTTACCTCCACTCATTCCTATGCAACACTCACACACATACCTGCTGGCTACTTAAACCCCTACCACTTAAGGCCTCCTTCACACTTCCCTCCAACCCTTCCTTGGATGACCCCTACCCCTACTTCCTGTCGAAATACCCAAACCACCTCAACAACCTCTCTTCTGCCCTCTGAATCATACCTTTCATAATCCCACACCATGTTCTAATTTCTACACTGAATTCTCTGCATGATATTCACACCACATATTGCTCTCAAACATGACATCTCCACAACTTCCTGCCTCCTCATTGCAACACTTAAAGCCTATGCCTGACACTTATAAAAAAAAAAGGTTGGTACTGCTATACCATCGATTATTTATTTTTATTAACACATTGGCCATTTTCCACTGAGGCAGGGTGACCCAAAATAGAAGAAACATTTTCATCATTCACTCCATCACTGTCTTGCCAGAGGCATGCCAGCACTACAGTTGAAAAACTGCAACATATCTCCACCCCTTCTTCAGAGTGCAGGTATTCTACTTCCCACCTCCAGGATTCATCCAGCTAACCTATTACCCTGAGTTCCTTCACAAATGTTACTTTGCTTACACTCTAACAACACGTAAGTCATAAAAACCATTTCCCTTCACCTGCTCCTATCATGTTCAAGAATGCTTGCTGGAAGTCTAAGCCCCTTGCACACAAAACCTCCCTTGCCCCCTTCCTCCAACCTTTCCTAAGATGACCCCTACCCTGCCCTCCTTCCACTGCAGATTTATACGCCCTCCAAGTCATTCTATGTTGTTCCGTCCTTTGTTACATTTCTTTATTTGCCTCCATAGTCAGTACCTTTGTAAGACTGTCATATTCAAGTCATGCCCTTAAGTAGTTAAGTAATGAATGTTGTTATTATATTTTGTTGCCTACATATTTATCAAAACAATTGCATCTAATGAAATTCCTTGCACAAATACACATAGGGTCCCAAACTTATATGTAATTAGTCATTTCATTCTTATGCTGCTCTGTCACCTCTAAGAACAATAGATAAAAGCTGCATTAAGTGATGGAAGTAAATATTATGCACTAACCTGAGTCAGATGTAGATGCACCTTTCATAGCCTCATCCCAGAGAGGAACATCAAGGAGCTCTTCAGCACCACTATCATTGCCCTCGTCAGCAATGTTCTTTACTAGCTGCCAATGATATAAATATCATTAAGCCATTATTACATAAACTTTTTTTTTAGACACTGTCCAAAGATTACACTGGTCTGCATTTGGAATGTTTTTAATTTTTATTTATATTCATGGTTGCGATCTTACATATTCTTGGGCTGCTGAATGTAAATATCTAAACCATTTCACTCTATCACGTAAGGATTTTGAATAAAATACAAATTAATGATGATACAAAATTTTTATTATTTTATTATTATCACACTGGCCGATTCCCACCAAGGCAGGGTGGCCCGAAAAAGAAAAACTTTCACCATCATTCACTCCATCACTGTCTTGCCAGAAGGGTGCTTTACACTACAGTTTTTAAACTGCAACATTAACACCCCTCCTTCAGAGTGCAGGCACTGTACTTCCCATCTCCAGGACTCAAGTCCGGCCTGCTGGTTTCCCTGAACCCCTTCATAAATGTTACTTTGCTCACACTCCAACAGCACGTCAAGTATTAAAAACCATTCATCTCCATTCACTCCTATCAAACACGCTCACGCACGCCTGCTGGAAGTCCAAGCCCCTCGCACACAAAACCTCCTTTACCCCCTCCTTCCAACCTTTCCTAGGCCGACCCCTACCCGCCTTCCTTCCACTACAGACTGATACACTCTTGAAGTCATTCTGTTTCGCTCCATTCTCTCTACATGTCCGAACCACCTCAACAACCCTTCCTCAGCCCTCTGGACAACAGTTTTGGTAATCCCGCACCTCCTCCTAACTTCCAAACTACGAATTCTCTGCATTATATTCACACCACACATTGCCCTCAGACATGACATCTCCACTGCCTCCAGCCTTCTCCTCGCTGCAACATTCATCACCCATGCTTCACACCCATATAAGAGTGTTGGTAAAACTATACTCTCATACATTCCCCTCTTTGCCTCCAAGGACAAAGTTCTTTGTCTCCACAGACTCCTAAGTGCACCACTCACCTTTTCCCCTCATCAATTCTATGATTCACCTCATCCTTCATAGACCCATCCGCTGACACGTCCACTCCCAAATATCTGAATACATTCACCTCCTCCATACTCTCTCCCTCCAATCTGATATCCAATCTTTCATCACCTAATATTTTTGTTATCCTCATAACCTTACTCTTTTCTGTATTCACTTTTAATTTTCTTCTTTTGCACACCCTACCAAATTCATCCACCAATCTCTGCAACTTCTCTTCAGAATCTCCCAAGAGCACAGTGTCATCAGCAAAGAGCAACTGTGACAACTCCCACTTTATGTGTGATTCCTTATCTTTTAACTCCACGCCTCTTGTCAAGACCCTCGCATTTACTTCTCTTACAACCCCATCTATAAATATATTTAACAACCACGGTGACATCACACATCCCTGTCTAAGGCCTACTTTTACTGGGAAAAAATTTCCCTCTTTCCTATGTACTCTAACTTGAGCCTCACTATCCTCGTAAAAACTCTTCACTGCTTTCAGTAACCTACCTCCTACACCATACACCTGCAACATCTGCCACATTGCCCCCCTATCCACCCTGTCATACGCCTTTTCCAAATCCATAAATGCCACAAAGACCTCTTTAGCCTTATCTAAATACTGTTCACTTATGTGTTTCACTGTAAACACCTGGTCCACACACCCCCTACCTTTCCTAAAGCCTCCTTGTTCATCTGCTATCCTATTCTCAGGTCTTACTCTTAATTCTTTCAATAATAACTCTACCATATACTTTACCAGGTATACTCAACAGACTTATCCCCCTATAATTTTTGCACTCTCTTTTGTCCCCTTTGCCTTTATACAAAGGAACTATGCATGCTCTCTGCCAATCCCTAGGTACCTTACCCTCTTCCATACATTTATTAAATAATTGCACCAACCACTCCAAAACTATATCCCCACCTGCTTTTAACATTTCTATCTTTATCCCATCAATCCCGGCTGCCTTACCCCCTTTCATTTTACCTACTGCCTCACGAACTTCCCCCACACTCACAACTGGCTCTTCCTCACTCCTACAAGATGTTATTCCTCCTTGCCCTATACACAAAATCACAGCTTCCCTATCTTCATCAACATTTAACAATTCCTCAAAATATTCCCTCCCCTCTTCCCAATACTTCTAACTCTCCATTTAATAACTCTCCTCTCCTATCTTTAACTGACAAATCCATTTGTTCTCTAGGCTTTCTTAACTTGTTAATCTCACTCCAAAACTTTTTCTTATTTTCAACAAAATTTGTTGATAACATCTCACCCACTCTCTCATTTGCTCTCTTTTTACATTGCTTCACCACTCTCTTAACCTCTCTCTTTTTCTCCATATACTCTTCCCTCCTTACATCACTTCTACTTTGTAAAAACTTCTCATATGCTAACTTTTTCTCCCTTACTACTCTCTTTACATCATCATTCCACCAATCGCTCCTCTTCCCTCCCGCACCCACTTTCCTGTAACCACAAACTTCTGCTGAACACTCTAACACTACATTTTTAAACCTACCCCATACCTCTTCGACCCCATTGCCTATGCTCTCATTAGCCCATCTATCCTCCAATAGCTGTTTATATCTTTCCCTAACTGCCTCCTCTTTTAGTTTATAAACCTTCACCTCTCTCTTCCCTGATGCTTCTATTCTCCTTGTATCCCATCTACCTTTTACTCTCAGTGTAACTACAACTAGAAAGTGATCTGATATATCTGTGGCCCCTCTATAAACATGTACATCCTGAAGTCTACTCAACAGTCTTTTATCTACCAATACATAATCCAACAAACTACTGTCATTTCGCCCTACATTATATCTTGTATACTTATTTATCCTCTTTTTTTTAAAATATGTATTACCTATAACTCAACCCCTTTCTATACAAAGTTCAATCAAAGGGCTCCCATTATCATTTACACGTGGCACCCCAAACTTACCTACCACACCCTCTCTAAAAGTTTCTCCTACTTTAGCATTCAGGTCCCCTACCACAATTACTCTCTCACTTGGTTCAAAGGCTCCTATACATTCACTTAACCCTTTCAGGGTCCGTCCCGTAGATCTATGGCTTTACGTTCAGGGTCCAAACCGTAGATCTACGCCATGAGCTCAGCTCACTCTGATAAACTGTGAGTGGTACATTTGGGCCTAGATATGATAGAATACATCTATGTGGTATGTGTGCACCACATAAAACAGATCCTGCAGCACACTGTGTATAATGAGAGAAAAAAAATGAAATCATGTTTTTTCGATTAATTAAAACAGCAACTTTGCAGTGTTTTTTCGTATGTTTTTTATAGTTGTATTTGCGATTTCTTGGTCTCATTTGATAGAATGGAAGACATATTACAGAAATAGAGATGATTTTGATTGGTTTTAGCATTGGAAATGGCTTGAAACTGAGCTCAAAGTAGCGGAAATGTTAAATTTTTGCCGATATTCAAGAGTAAACAAATGACCTCACACGTCTAATACACGTCAGCTGGTGGGTCTAATATACATTCACAAATATGGTGATGATATTTATACAATTATTACAGTATTGCATAAGAGTAAATCTTCTATTTTTTGGTGTGAATAAAAATTCATTATGTGAATAAAAAATCAAAATGGAATATATTTGTAAAGCCTCAAAACATAACTGATGAACAGAGGAAATGTTAGTTTAGTGCCAGGAATGCCTACATTGTTCATTCTGGACCCTATTTTGAAATTGGAATATTTTGAACTTTGTGTTAAATTGGCCAAATTAACAATTTCTGATCACTTTATTTTGTAGTTGAAACAGTTGACTTGGCGATTTCTTGTGCTCAATCGATAGAATAGAAGTAATACTAGTGAAATAGCTAAGAATTTGGTTGATTGGAATAATGTAATTGGCCTAAAATGGGAGTCAAAGTCAGCAAAATCGCCGATTCGTAAATATCGCTGACACATCAAAATTCGCGAGAGCATAATTTCGTCAATTTTCCACCAAATTTCGTACTTTTTGTTTTATTACCTTCACAAAAAGATTCTCTACGATTTCATAAGAAAAAATAACAAATTTTTTTTTTTAAAAATTCTTGGACACTGGTGCGTGACTCCAGATTTGGGCCTTGGACCCTGAAAGGGTTAACATCTCCCAAAATCTCTCTCTCTCCTCTACATTCCTCTCTTCTCCAGGTGCATACACGCTTATTATGACCCACTTCTCGCATCCAACCTTTACTTTAATCCACATAATTCTTGCATTTACACATTCATATTCTCTTTTCTCCTTCCATAACTGATCATTCAACATTACTGCTACCCCTTCCTTTGCTCTAACTCTCTCAGATACTCCAGATTTAATCCCATTTATTTCCCCCCACCGAAACTCCCCTACCCCCTTCAGCTTTGTTTCACTTAGGGCCAGGACATCCAACTTCTTTTCATTCATAACATCAGCAATCATCTGTTTCTTGTCATCTGCACTACATCCACGCACATTCAAGCATCCCAGTTTTATAAAGTTTTTCTTCTCTTTTTTATTAAATGTCTACAGGAGAAGGGGTTACTAGCCCATTGCTCCCGGCATTTTAGTCGCCTCATACGACACGCATGGCTTACGGAGGAAAGATTCTTTTCCACTTCCCCATGGACAATAGAAGAAATAAAGAAGAATAAGAGCTATGTAGAAAAAGGAGAAAAACCTAGATGTATGTATATATATATGCATGTGCATGTCTGTGAAGTGTGACCAAAGTGTAAGTTGGAGTAGCAAGATATCCCTGTTATCTAGCGTGTTTATGAGACAGAAAAAGACACCAGCAATCCTACCATCATGCAAAACAGTTACAGGTTTCTGTTTCACAGTCATCTGGCAGGACGGTAGTACTTCTCTGGGTGGTTGCTGTCTACCAACCTACTACCTTTATGATACAAAATGTGAATTTTTAATAAATTGTTAATTTACTAAAATTAGGCAAGTAATCATGGAAAAGCAGCATATTCTGTTAGTTTTAAGAACATATGAA